CTTTAGTAGAAGTCTAGTAATAATCGTCTTTTGAAAAGTAGAAGAATAATCAGAATTTCCTCTATCATTTCCAGTGTAAATCGATCTTTAATTTTCACTAGCTGAATTTACCTACAATGTCGTATACATATTTAATTTAAATAAATTTATTACCTACACTGTACATAAATAGACACTTGGTACGAATCGGTCTTTAACTTGAATTTTCGCTAGTTGAATTTACCTACAATGTCGTATACATATTTAATTTAAATAAATTTATCACCTACACTGTACATAAATGGACACTTAGTACTTACAATTAGTACGAATTGGTCTTTAACTCTGACAGAATTTTCGCTAGTTGAATTTACCTACGATGTTGTATACATATTTAATTTAAATAAATTTATTAGCTGTACTGTACATAAATGGACTTGGTACTTACAATTAGTACGAATTGGTCTTTAATTCTGATAGAATTTCCGCTAGTTGAATTTATCTACGATGTCGTATACATATTTAATTTAAATAAATTTATTACCTACACTGTACATAAATGGATACTTAGTACGAATCAGTCTTTAACTCTGACAGAAGTTTCGCTAGTTAAATTTACCTAGAATGTCGTATGCGTATTTAATTTAAATAAATTTATTACCTACACTGTACATACATAAATCGACACTTATAATTAATACGAATCGGTCTTTAACTCTAGAAAAATTTACTTACACTGTGCATAAATGAACACCTAGTATAATTCCACCGAAAGGTTGATATTTCTTTTTCGTTCTCACAGCCGTGATCGATCAACATCTCTCCATTATTAATTGCCTGCATCTTACTGTTCCCGATACAAGGGCGAAAAATGTTGAACGACACACGTGTTATCGGCGAGTTGAACGACACACGTGGATCGAAGCGGTGAAACGAGCTTTCGATTAAATTCACGATATGCCGAGCGTAAAGGAGCAAACAGAAGCGAATTTATTACGTCTGTCCGAGGCGTTTGCTGTCCAGCGGAGTTGCTGTCAGCCGACAAACATGTCCCAACGCAACGGAGAAAATGACAGAGCATCTCGTATACACATGCAGCGCGTTTCGATTCGCGTAACCGCGTAAATCTTACACCTGCGTGAAATCTGATTTCAAAGGTACAGAGCCGAGGGAGATTTCACGTAACCGAAACTTCTGTTTCTGTTTTATTTATATGGAAACGGGACAACGCACACACGTTTCACCACGCGTTGAAAAATCGATCACCTAGCAAGCTCTGCTCGCCTAGGCGTTGCCGAAACGCCTGGAAATAGGCCAGCTGAGAATCAATTTTAATGATCAAGTTGGGCGGAGTTCTACGCGTTTTTTGAATTTCGAACATAGCTGAAGAAACGGAAACAGTATTATGAAATTTAGTTATAATCAGATGGTGGATTTTTGTTCGTTTTTTAATTTTAGACGAACGTGGTCGAAGAAATGGAACTAATATTGAAATTTGTTTCATTTATCGTGTCAAATATTGATTAGACTGTGGATTTTTATTCGTTTTCAAATTTTGACGACCATAGTTACGGAAATGGAAACAGTATTAAAATCTGTTATAATTAGATGGTGGATTTTTGTTCGTTTTTTAATTTTAGACGAACGTCGTCGAAAAAATGGAACTAATATTGAAATTTGTTCCATTTATAGTGTCAAATATTGATTAGACTGTGGATTTTTATTCGTTTTTAAATTTTGACGACCATAGTTACGGAAATGGAAACAGTATTAAAATCTGTTATAATTAGATGGTGGATTTTTGTTCGTTTTTTAATTTTAGACGAACGTGGTCGAAAAAATGGAACTAATATTGAAATTTGTTTCATTTATCGTGTCAAATATTGATTAGACTGTGGATTTTTGTTCGTTTTTAAATTTTGACGAACATAGTTACAGAAATGGAAACAGTATTAAAATCTGTTATAATTAGATGGTGGATTTTTGTTCGTTTTTTAAGTTTAGACGAACATGGTCGAAGAAATGGAACTAATATTGGAATTTGTTTCATTTATCATATTTTTGAATTGATATCAGACGACGAAATTTCTCAAATTTTCTTTTTTAATATTTCACTGTCAATGTTCAATAAAGTGGCGAAAAATATCGTGCAGCAAGTTTCAAGGAGTTGTTGTAAAGAGAAAAATTTCTACAACATTTCCAAGACCATGGTCTTTTGAATTTATCTACAAAAGAATTTTCCAATGTTTTCGGAGACGTTTGAATTTTTGAGTTTAATCTTTGAAAAAGAAAAAAACGAACTCACGATTATCAATAAAATACGATTGTTATATGAAAAATATCGAATTGTTATTGATTTAATTATATTGCCGTACGAATGTAATTTCAATGTTTATTCCATCTTATTACCATAAAAGAGTAATGAATATTATTTCCAATTGTTAATTGGTCCTTAATTTTCAAACAACGATCAAATTTAAATATCGTCGAAGATAGTGCACGTCTGTTTTATTGTTGGATTATCTCCACACGATACTAAGACCTTTTGCTTTTAATGAATGAACGTAATGGATTCGATCGAAAACAATTGAGCTATAAATTAAACGTTTCGCCAGATGAAAGAGGTCCGATGGTGTTCATTCGGGCGAGTAAGTGGAGGAATTTTTTGGACGAAATCCAGCATCGGGCCGCTTCTTTATGGCGGATTCCTCTTAGAGCTTTATGTCGATTTCTCTTTATTTTCCAATGTACCTTAACGATTTTTCTTCTTCCCTTGCATTTCCGGCCCTCCCTAACCCTCCTAATTGTATTTTATTCGAATAAAGGACGGGCCAATTACCAATTGGGTCGCCGTACTTTTTTTTCGTATAAATTATTCAGGCCGACCGAATTGATATTTACAGCAGGTTCGCCAAGGGAAAATCTTCGTTTCGTTCCGCCAAGGACCAACTGATATTTTATCGGAGGTATAAACACCTCAATTCCGTTAAATTTCGTAGAATTGTGGAATTTAGATGGAAAAACAATTTAATCGAAATGTATCGCGCGAGTCTTTGGTATGTCCTTTCGCAGAAAAACTAAAAGAAGGAGAATTTAAAATAAATTGAAAAAAATTGCAAATAAAATACTCTTAACTTTGTAGAAAAACTAAAGGAAGGAAAATTTAAAATAAATTGAAAAAAATTGCAAATAAAATACTCTTAACTTTGTAGAAAAACTAAAGGAAAGAAAATTTAAAATAAATTGAAAAAAGTTGCAAATAAAATACTCTTAACTTTGTAGAAAAACTAAAGGAAGGAGAATTTAAAATAAATTGAAAAAAGTTGCAAATAAAATACTCTTAACTTTGTAGAAAAACTAAAGGAAGGAAAATTTAAAATAAATTGAAAAAGGTTGCAAATAAAATACTCTTAACTTTGTAGAAAAACTAAAGGAAGGAGAATTTAAAATAAATTGGAAAAATTGCAAATAAAATACTCTTAACTTTGTAGAAAAACTAAAGGAAAGAAAATTTAAAATAAATTTAAAAAAATTGCAAATAAAATACTCTTAACAGGACCTTGGTTCTTAATAGATTAATCAGAATCTTACTAACATTTCGCAGCAGAAAAAAAAAAAGAAAAAAACGTCAAAGACTTTAACGATGTAAATCGATGGAGAAAAACATTGCAAACGAAACGTTGTCTTAACAGAACTTTGGTACCTGACACCTTGATCAGACTTGACGACCCTTCATGCGCAAAACTGTCAAAGGCAGAGAATCTAACGATACAAATTAATTGGGAAACGTTGCAAATAAAATAGTTGCCTTGACAGAATCTTGATCCTCGGTTAATTAGACTGATCAGACAGAATTATTAGTCGGAGCTAATAACTTTCAAAATGTGACAAAAATATATTTCGATTATAGATTTAACTTCTAATTAAGAATAATCCTCCCAATTATCTTACAGAAATTTACAGACAGCTGTGTGGAAAATTCTGTGATTGAACAAATCAACACGAAGCGCAGGAGCGATTTAGGGACACGTGTTAAATAGTTCGTTAGCTCGCTGAGAGCATTAAAACTTCATTTTGCGATTATTACCCCGACACTAGATATAGACAGATACCTTCGCAGGTACAGTCCATAAAGTTACATACTCACAGAGAGAGAGAGAGAGAGTAGTGTATTTACTTCATGCTTCGTAGACCGTACGAAATAAACGTAGTTGCAGTGTGTACTTGTTTAGAAGCTGCAGCCTGGTTTAATATACACGCATACATACGTACATGTGTATGCATGATACGTTTAGAGGCTGAATCTTGCTTTGATATACATATGTACATACATGATGCACGTACAATGCATCTTTGACACACGATACACGGCCATTTCTCGATGTTTCGACACTGAAACGTGAACTGATGATATTTTCTGTTAATATTAAACTGATAATACTGCTAATCTTCGATGATAGATTTTAACAGGCATAATTATAAAAAGGCAGGACCTTTAGAAATTTATTAATTTTAACTTACTAATTTTTTAATTTAACCTTTTTAAATTTGAAATTAATTAATTTTAAATAAATAACTTTCGAATCTTGCGTAAAATTTTCGTTGAAGATATTCAGTAAAACTGAGAGTTAGAATGAGCATCGTTTAATTATTAAAATCGTAAATGTTTTTCGATTAGTTTCCTTAAGAAGAAAGGAAGAAATAGAATTCAAAAATAATTAGCATTGTATTATATTATGTTTCATTATATTATATTATAGTATTATTAGTAATATACTATATTGGTAGTATGTATATATAGTATATAGTATATATATTGTATATATTACAGTATTATTAGTAATATATTATACTGGTAGTATATAGTATATATATTGTATATATTATAGTATTATTAGTAATATATTATATTATATTATATTATATATACATTAATTTTTACAACTTTTGCAATTTGTCAATAATTGTATTCAGTACCTATGTAAATTCAATAATTCATACTTTTTTTAATTTTGTTCCAGAAACTGGGGTACTGAAATACATGCGGCTCATAAACGTAAGTTCCACTTTCTATCATCTACTATATGTCACTTTAAGAAAACTTTCGATCGAAGTAATTATAATTATGTCGTTAGCTTTCTCAATTTCTAAAACAAACCTAATACATGCAAGACCAAGAATTTAGCACATCAGTAACCACTATCCTTGGCAAAAAGTTTTCAAAATCAAACAGACATACCATTTAACCCATTTAAACACATCAACTTATGTTAATATTAAATATGAAACAATTTACTTTAATTAATTGAAACAATATAAAATTGTTTTTCATTTGTTTGAAATATATAGAAGAGTAGAATCAACGAAGTAGAATTAATCGAGTTTTCTTACACAGAAGATCTCAATATTTCCATATACTTTCGAATACACTTGATCGAGTACATGCTTCTGTTAGTTACAAAAGAATAATAAATGGATGCATTGTCGATGCACGATGTCAGATGATGATTTGGAATATATACGTTGTCAACGTACTTTGATATTCGATACTTTATCGTACTACTTAAATGCAGCATCGCATATAATGTTGCACATATTGTACACTATAAATGTTCTTTTAATCTGTTTCACATGACTTCAATAACTCGTTTTATAATAAATTGTACTCATTATCTGATTAAGAGGAGAAATATGAACGTATACGTGCATGTAAAAATGAAAAGGTCAAAGTAGTCCTCATTCAATATGTGTCCCCATCATTCAATATGTGTATATTAAATACAAAATATTGGTATATATATAAATACAAATGACTGTATTTATATATTTGTATTTTATATATATTGTATATATAAATGCAAAGTATTGTATTTTATATATTTGTAGTTTTATATATATCCCAAATATATAAATACAAAGTATTGTATTTTACATATTTGTATTTTTATATATATATATATATATCCCAAATATATAAATACAGTATTGGGATATTTGTACAATTTGGAATGTATATAAATACAAAGATTCTATTTATATATTTGTATTTTATATATATTGTATATATATTGTATTTTATATATTTGTATTTTTATATATATCCCAAATATATAAATACAAAGTATTGTATTTTACATATTTGTATTTTTATATATATATCCCAAATATATAACTACAATATTGGGATATTTATACAATTTGGGTTGTATATAAATACAAAGGATTGTATTTATATATTTGTATTTTATATAATGTATTTATATATTGTATATGTAATGTATTTTATATATTTTATATATTTTTATATATCCCAAATATATAGAGACAATATTGGGATAGATATAAATACAAAGTATTATATTTTATATATATTGTATATATAGATAGAAAGTATTGTATTTTATATATTTTTTATATCCCAAATATGTAAAGACAATATTGGGATATATATAAATACAAACGATTGTATTTTATATATTTTTCATATCCCAAATATACAAAGACAATATTGGGATATGTATAAAATACAAAGGATTGTATTTTATATATATTGTACATATAGATGGAAAGTATTGTATTTTATATATATTGTATATATAAATACAAAGGATTGTATTTTATATGTACTGTATAAATACAAAGTATTATATTTTATATATTTGTATTTTTATATATATCCCAAATATACAAATACAAAAGTTGAATCTTTTAACACCTTCCTTGGATGTAAATGCGTCATTTACGATTCTCTTACGTGAGAAAAAAAAAAATACGTAGCAACACGTAGAATTGTGAATCGGACGGAGGAAAATGGGGAATGAAAACGATGGGGCATTTCACTTTGATGCACTCCTCTGTCGTGCGTGTGAAACACACACGTGTGTTTGCATTGCGTGTTACACGAGTTATTACTTTGTGTTTCTGAAATGTTCTGCAATATTCGTGGAATAATATACACAAAGGGTAAACAACGAAACGCAATTTCACGTATCGTTCCCGCGTAAATAATTTTATCCGCGTTTACGTTCGCGTCCGCTTTGACTTTATTTAAATAACGTCGCAGAATTGTCGAAGAAGCTCGAATAAATTTCCCTTGTCACACGGTCGTCACTTTTTCGCGATTCGTCAAATGACATTTGAAACAATTCGCGCGGAAGACAAATTATTTGAACATTTCGATTTTGTGTGATCGACTGATTGATTTTTTATTTGTTAGGTTCGTGCTTGTCGTAGATCCTATTTTGTTTTATCCTAGTTATATCTATATAATTGCTTGAATATATTTATAATCTAATTACATTTAACTTCTCGACTTTTTACGCACGTAACTAATATTATTTCTTTGTTTTTATTTTATTTTTCTTTCTTTCTTTTGTTTTTTTAAATTTTGATGTACTTTCATCTTATTTGTATTTTTACATCGATGCACAGGATTTTTAGGACTTTAACTAATAAGTTAACTAATAAATAGTAATAGTTATTATTATCTTTGTTGAAAATATTATGAAATGAAGAAAATTATTTTACTATTGTTTGCACATTTTGAATACAAATTACACTATAAATACATATGTTTAAGTCCTAATACTTAAATTTTGGAAACCTACAAAAATTCTATAGCATCGAAGCTGTAATAGTTTCGTTGAAGAAATGTTTAAGAACTGTTTGTCCATTTTGTCTTTTGTACGTAGAATGAGTAATTTCTACAATCGATACGTAACATTAAATTATAAAATTATATACAGTGCAGTATCTATATAAATTATTATATGTACAGTGATTCTCATCAATATTCGGTCAATAATTTTAATTATAATTAAAATATATTCAATTTAATTTAATTATAATTTTAATTACAATTAAAATATATTCAATTTAATTTAATTATAATTTTATATTTATATATTTATATTTTAATTATAATTTTATATTTATATTTATATTTATTTATTTATTTATTTTATATTTATATTATATTTTATTATAATTTTATTTTAAAAATTGCACGATAATAGAGTTGCATTCGTTTTAAAGATTGAAGTTTGAACTTTCAAAAAGCATCATTCGTTTTATTCTACGATTCCATTTTTGTACTACGCAGCAGATGGCAGAGTGAAGGCACTTCTCTCCAAAAAAAATTTTATAACTATCAAAAACATTGAAAACCAATTTTACAACAGATTTGAAGTTTCGAAGCCTCCATCCCTCAAACTTGCTGTGCGAGCTCCGCTAATTTAATCAAACTTCGAATAACAGACGAGAATGAAAATTTTCTAAGTCTAATATTCAAGGTTAAGTGGAATGACGAAAAGAAAAAGAATCATGCATCAAGCTTCCAAAAGTGGTTGCAAAGGAGAGGTTTCAATTTCTTCAACTCCATTGCAGATTCAGTCGCAAGAAGAAAAAAAAAAAAAATATTTATCGATGTCTTCACACAATAAACACAATTTATGGCACTTCATCTATATTCACCTGTTACGTGATGCGAAGGGTAAAAATTCCGAGTGCAGAGATTTCTTTATGCTTTGAAAACGGACTCGGGACTTTTATTGTCGTACGATCTCCTCTTACAAAATCGCGACGTATTTCGATATTCAGTGTCCGAATATTAATGGAGATCGTCCGTTGTACAACGGTATTAAACTGGAAATGACGAGACGAGAAATTCAAAAGCTCTCGTTCGTATCGCGAGCGTGTAATGGCGAGTCCGTCCCGAGGAAAACCTTCCGCTGCATATTCAGCGAGATATGCAAAGGGAATAAACCGTGAGCTACTGTGGAATTCAAACGGAATGGTTATTGCGGACAAGTGGGCCGATTGAAGTCTGCATTGGAAACAAAACGGCCAGCTTTACCAAACGAATGAAAGAATTCCCTCTGGTCTGGACGTTGGTACGTGAGGCGTGTGTGACAAAAACGTCGCTGAGATTATTTCATCCGGTAGGGTACCGAGTTTGTTAATTTGCAATTGCAACCTGGTAGTTTGCCAAACTGCTGTTTGCCAATCGTCAAGCGTATTGTGTTTAGAGAATTAAATTAAATCAATTTCTGAAAGAAGATCGTGGATATTCGTTAAAAACAAAAATATATAGAGTGGGTCAAAAATTTCTTCATAAAAATATTTTTAATGAAACATTTACAACAAAAAAACTAATTTCATTAATTTTAAATTATATTCAAGTTTAAACATGATTTTCTTTCATTATGTTTTGAAAATCGTTTCTTTCGAAATGTTAGGAAAAGAAAAATATATAAGAAATATATATAAAATATATAAAAATATAAAAAATACATATAAAATATGTAAAAATATATATAAAATATATACATAAAATATATAAAAATATATATAGAAAATATATATAAAAATATAAAAAAATATATATAAAATATATATAAAAATATAAAAAATATAGAAAAAAAATTGAAGACTTACTATTGGCCCACCTTCTATTAATACTTGAACCACGATGACCGAAGTATAAAACTTGTAGCAGAGAAATTAACGTGCAGAGTGGAAAACAAATTTTAATCTTTAGTCTCTTAACTTATAGTTGATAAATAAATATCGATGATATAAAATATCATTGTCCATTATAGTGCAATACAGTAGCAACGAGTTTGTTATTAGACACGCAGACGAGTCAGATTTACGATACTTAAATACCGAATGGTTATTGGATTCTCTATTCAAACGTTATCTCTACGCAACAGAGCAAAAATATCCATTCGACTTTTCACGCAATCGCGTAGGAAGCGGATCCATCAGTTGATGAATTTTTGTTATTCAGAGATCGCCAACTATATTGAACAATTAAACGCGAATCGTGAAAAATCAATTGTTCGATTTCGACTTTTTCGTTATTCGTCGCCGATTCGTTTCGAAATGATTATAGTTTTAACGTCACTAAAAATGTTCAAAGTATGAGTCTTTTCGTCTGTTGTTAATTAAATAAATTTAACAATATAATATAAATGTAATATATATAATAAATATTGATAATATTTAATATATAAAAATATATATGATAAATATTTTATTATATATAATATATATAATAAACATTGATAATGTTTAATA